CAATAGTTATTATTAATTCCGCCTTTTTCTGAAACCTTTCCACCCTTTCGCACGGAAATATGTATTTCCATCCTCGACACAGGATCCTCGTTAACAATTTACAAATGTAATCCATTAAGACGTCAAAAGGGAACGATTTCCATTCGACTAACTTCCGTGGAATAAAAATTTCTACCCGCGGAAATCTCGTCCCTCCATTTTCCACCACCCCTTCCCTCCCGTCCATCTTTCTTCCTTCCTCTCTGGCAGAAAACCCTTCTTTCCTCGATAGCACTCCTCGAACGTCCAATAAATTCGTCGGATAAATGAAATTTTTCCTCCACTGTTTGGATTAATCGGTCTCCCCTCGAGAATCGTCTTCATAAAAACGGCCAAGAAAAAAAATTCTCTTCCTCCAATCGTGGATCAATCTTAACACCGTTTTAACGATTAATTATTTCCACTCTTCTCTCGGAGAAAGTATTCGTGAACAACAATATTCTATCATCTTGATAGAAATTAAGGATTAATAGGATTAATTATTTCCATACTTCGTACAAAGAAGTATCGTTGTTAAACCGATTTGTAATATCGTTAAAATATAATTCCAAAGTTTCGAACGCTCTTCAAGAAGCTTGAAAAGTGTTCAAACCCTGCTTGCAATATCACCATGTTCAAACATGCATACATAATTAAATTGATTTGCAAATTGATCGACTAGTCGAATTGATTAATTAATATCAAAACACGTTCTGAAATACCAATCACGAAATCTCATTTACAATATTCATACGCTTAATACTCGAGCTTTTCCATCCATTTTCCTTTCCGATCTTCGCGTCTCTTTCCTGCATTTCCTCCCTTCAAACTTTCATCTCGTTGAAGCACAATCTACGATACAAAGTAACGCCAAAGTCGCAAACAATGAATCCACCTCCTCGAATCAATAATCATTTCCAATTCCAAACCGTCCAACTTTTCCATTCGTCCGTTTCCAACTTGGGGCGGAAAGATCAACAACGACTAACGAAAAAATCGGGGAGGGGAAGAGAAATGGAGGAGGAACATTCTCGCGAGGTATTCCCGAGAGGAAAACGAGTCCCTTGGCGGGAATCTCGACGAGGAGTCGTCGAACTGCATTCGCAGTTTCCGGTTGTTAATTATCGAAGGGAGCGACCGAAATTTTCCGCGTGGAAATTCTGTTCGATTCGTAGAATTCTCTTGATCCCGATGCTCGAGAAAGAAAGTTGGAAACACGGGAAACTCGTGTTCAAATATCAACCTGACAACTGGCTATCGTTCAATCGAATACGAAACGGATCGGACTCTTATTAGCGCTTTGACTATCGCGTGCCGATAAATGGACTATTTACTTCACCGTTAAAGTTGGTTTCTTTTCTATTTTTTTTTTTTTT